GTTCACCATGGGGCAGATGGCTGAGGGGAAGGCCTGCCACCTGAGGGAGAAGGCATGGTCACGGAGCTCTCTGCGTTTCCACAGCACTGTACAAGCACAAATTCAGGTATCCTCTTGCCTCTTTTGGCAGGTAAGTCCCTATCATCATCCTTCTGTAAGGATGGGGAAACTGAGGCACAGAGCTATATGATGACTTGCCCAAAGCTCTAGGGCGAGTCAGTAGCCAAGCCAGGGACAGGCTCTGGGTCTCCATAGTTCAGCATGATTCCACCACTAGTTCATTCTGTTCCCAGCAACATGTCCCTGCTCTGCACAATTGGGTTTCACTGAGGCAACAATTTGGTTCCCCTCACTTCTGGATTTTAGAGAGTGACTCAAACCTATCAACACCCTGCCCAGCTGCACCTCTGACTGCACCCTCCTAGCCTTGCCCCTCCAGGCCATGTCTGTCTCTTGAAGCTTCTACCTCCTTCTCTGAGATCTGGCCTTTGGTTTGTGCCTACTCACCTACAGCTATTGTCCAGCTCACCTCCTGCCACCTCTTCCTTAGCTCTCTGAAAGGCCTCTCATCCCTCTCCCATCCATTCAAACTCCAGCCACAAAGGGCATGGTATGCCATCTTTACTACACCATCCCCTTTTTCGGATCCCTCCTGTGGTTCCTGAATCAAATCATAATCATGTCCTTGCCATTACAGGCCTGTCAAAGGGCTGCTTCCTCCTCTGTAAATGCCTTTGTCCCTGGCTTGTTTACTTTTCATTCCATCCAGGAAGAGCACACACCAACTGCTGCAGCTTTCTTAATCTGACGAAGGGTTTTTGAACCCGAAAGCTTGCTTAATAACTATTCTCCAACCATTTGGGTTGGTCTAATAAAAGATATCAAATTCACCCAAGAAACCTTGTCTGCCTATATCCTTAGACCAACACAGCTACAACCTAAACCCTTTGTCTCTTCCTGCATTCTTTTCATTGCCCAGGACACCAACCTCACCACCCTTTTTAGGCACCTCTCCATCTTGCATTTCTGTAACTTCTTCTAGGCCACCCCATCCACCAGGAACTTCCTTCCTCAGTTAATCCATAAAACTGTTACCTTTTCCTCTCCTGAGTTCCTGCTTGGCACTCACTTCCACCGTCACAAACTGTCAGATGACAGTCACTACTCATGCAGGGATTTAAAATAATGAAAAGGTTAAAGATCAGACACAGCCAGGCAAACCCATCAGGCTGGTGTGTTTAGGACAGTGGCTCCCAACCTTGGGTTGTGACCCAAGTCAAGGTCATGGGAGGTCTGCCCCTCCTGCCTGTGGGGCTCTCCCAGCACATGGTCTGTGCAGATCTCGCTGCTGCTGCCCCCTGCAATCCCAGCCCAGCTCAGGCTCTGCTGGTGCCACCGGGCATAATTGAGTCGGTGGCAGGGGTCGTGCCCTGGATTTAGGGTCGCAGCAAAAAAAGGTTGGGAGCCACTGGTTTAGGGCATATCAGGTTCTGTAGCCAATGCACACATGTGAGTGATGGGGCCAGCATCACGTTCAGTGGCCTTGGGCTTCCCAGCCCAAATGAACAGGTGCTAATTTACAGCTGAGTCAATGGAGGGTGGCCCCAGCATAAGGCTCAAATTCACACTTCTGGATTGGTAGCATGGCATTTTACCTGCTCATCCATCACATCTCGTATCATAATACACCTAGTGACTCTGAACAGACTAGTTGCACACAGGGCTAGTCCGTGTAACTGCTATTGCTGCAGCACCTATGTCTTTCCTACCCTCTTCCCTCTATTTATGACCACCACCTCAGGTTTGTGGTGTCTGTAAGCTTTTTAGGCAAGGACTGTCTCTTACCCCATGCATGTACAGCACCTAGCACATAGGAACAGTGATCTCAATGTCCATGTAATTAAAAATAGCAACCCTGTCTGGAGTGGATCCTAGAAGCTGTATGATGCTGTGGAGCCAAGCTTCATGGCAGCTGAGGCCAGGAAATAGTGTGCCATTTGCAGAGAGTGCAAATATTGATCAAGACACTGGGGCCAAAGAACCTATTCCTGCATGAAGATCCCTGGGGTTTAATCCCTGTTGTAAGCTTCACCCGAAAGGAAGCACCTCAAACCGAAGGGCCTCCTACGAGCATGAAGGAGTACTAGGGCACTTCCCACTGAGCAGCCAGCATCCAGATTCTCCAATGCTCAGGACCAGCCAGGCCCAATCTCTAATGAGCCTGCAGCTTGAGTGGGTGTAATTACAATGCATTTCCCTCCACCACATGACCCACACACTCCTGTATGTGCGTGCACACCATTTATGGCAGACCAGACAGCACTTACTGATTGTTGATTGTCCATTGACTACTTGTGGAAACCAGTCTGCAAGAGAAGAGGGGACAGGGCAGAGGTCAGAGCATAGGATTTGCATAGGCTAGAACACTGTTTTTTAACATTTTTCATTTGCAGACCCCTAACATTTTTTGCAAAGAGGTGCAAATTTGTAAATTTTGCAAATTTTGAATGGTGGTGCATGATCATAGCCTTCTTTCACAGACCTCTTAAACATAATCTGCGGACCACAGGTTGAAGACCACCGGGCTAGAGACATTTATGAAATACTTGGAAGAGCTGGTGTATGGTGTATGGGAGGCCACTGCCCTCTACTGGAGGGGAGGAGAACCACTCAATTCTATGGATTATTCAGTTCTTTGCAGATTCTTGGAGTGAGCAGATCTGGACACTGCGCCTGCTGAA